TATATAGATAGATAGATATTAAAGATATATATATAGATCCAATATATATATATATTGGATCTAACCTCATACTTGTACTTAACTTAAACCGGAGTGGGCCAAACTAACCAGAGTCATCATCAAAACCGAGTGAAAAGGGTGAACCACTTATATGCATTCATCCATATTCATACATTTTACACATTTCCTGCATATGGACTCTTTGGCATATCTAACATGTAATTATAATCTACTAGGTGTCATCCACTGTGATGTTCTGGAGACTCAAAAGTAAGATAAAGAGCTGCTCACCTTTCTGCATTTTTTAAAGATTAGTAAGAGAGAAATTTTTATTTGGAAAGTCAGATGTGATTGCACAGTACCACAGATGTTTCCTCACAAAAGAAGTATAAAAGATGGGGGTGTTGGTATTTTGCAAAAGCTAAATACATGAAAACCTGAGTGTTGGTTAACCAGGTAACAGCTATGATGAACTGACAGGGAGAAGTGGAGTAGTTAGGTCTTATCTTAGGGAGTACAAAGTCTGGAAAGAAATAGAGAATTTGGGATCTTAGAAGCACTGACAGTATTTTCTTCACCATTTAAAGGAAAAATATATACACAAATTTTCTATATTGTAACACTCTGTTTTTCAAATTAAGTTTCCAATAGATATAGATTTTTCTCCCAAAGGACCAAGAATGAGAAAAATATTAAGTATAAAGTTCAAAAATTATGTTTCTATTGTCTGGTTGAATTCTAGCTCCATGACATTCTATGAACTTGGGAAGGTTTTATTTTTTGTTTGTTTTTAGTTTCTCTATGCCTTAATATGATGTAACAGCAATAATAATAATCATTTCATTGTGTACTTACGAGCATGAAAGATATATTATACATTAACACACAATAAATATACAAAGGACAATTGTTATTAAATAAACCCCTGAAAATTATAGCTTCCATTAATAGTTTGTAATTATCAAATCTCTATAGAAAAATTCTCTCTCTCCCTCATTTCTCTCTCTTTCACATATACAAATAACGCACCTATACACACAGATAACATATATGGAATAATTGATGTTAATTAATTTTAAAAATCCAATATACAACCTTCATCTGGCAGTTCTAGGCAAATTCATTTTTATACCAACCTGAGAATGAAGAGAAATATCTGAAGTAAGGATGCAGAGTTGTAAAGTGAATGCTGTGTAAGAGATGGAAAACAACTTATATATACCAGGCAAAAGAGAACCTGGAGGTCCATAGAGACATTTCCTTTAAATCTTTGCCTTAGTAAAAAAAGAAGCAATTAAGAAGCTTCCCCTAGAAATGACCCTGGAGGAAGTACATCTCTAGAGGAAGAGTTGACTGTTGAGTTTTGTTTTTTCAATAACAGGTTTGCACAATTTTATTTCCCCTCAATCTCAAGTTGTTTTGGATGTGTCTAGGATCAAATAACAATATTTGTTTTGGGTTTGCATCACACTAAATCTGGTGATGGTGTTACTCAATTTGAATAAGGTCATCTTATGTTCTGTACTCAGAGTCTATGCCACTTGGCTTTTCCAGAGAAAGAGGGAATGATATTATTCCTTATAATTAAAATTGTAGCTTCTGGAAGCTGGAAAAATATATATGCTTCAACTTACTCAGTCTATAAGCAAGGCAAACTAGAAACTTAATCATAGCAACAATACAGCATTTATTAAAGTTAACACGTGCCAGACACTGCAAATTTAATTTAATCTGGTTCTCATAATTATCTTCTTAGGTAATTGTATTATTGCCATTTTATAGAAAACAAAACAAAACACGAAAACCCAAAATAAGTCTTAGAAAATGGTACCTTACTCAAGGTCACACTCCTCAATGAATCAAAATATAGATTCCTGATTCCAGAATTTGATTCCAGTTATACTGTTAATTACCTCACTCTATTGCCCCACAACTATTAACAGAGCAGACCAAAAATTTCAATTTCTGACCCAAAAGGAGTTTCATTTTCACTGTGTGACTGGTGAATGTGTTTTATTATAGCATAGTCTTTTTGGACTTGAGGAGGGAAAAAGAGTGAAAATATCTCCACACCTCCTCCACATTTTCTAAAGATAACTTGATTAAATGTATTTATGGACACACACTCTAAATTCCAAAACACCAACAAGATTGTATTATCACCTTCTAATAGTCATTATAAGGTAAGACACAAATAAAATCTTACATGGATATCATAGGATACTAAGTATGCTCACATATAAATAAAGTTTATTGAATTAATTAGTATCATTAGCCTACATAAAGAAAACACAATCTCTTATAAAATCTTGATTTCTACAACAGCCAAATGCATTTAGAAAGCACATCCATGAAGGCATTTTTATGATTCTGCAAAATGAAAACAAAAGCTTACTTAGTTGTAATATGGAGACTCTGAGAGAAAAGTATTATGTGACAAAATATTTTAAAAGGGATTTCACTCAAGAACATTTGTGGAGACGTTTTCGGGTATCTAAGATCCTCCCATCACCTGTGAAATAAAGTGTTACTCAATTCAAGTATTGAGTAATTGGAAGTGGGAGTCATTGGAAGTAGGTTAGGTAATCATTACTTAAATGAGTAAAATTTGAAAGTGAGGTATGTTTTAAAAGCGGGGTGGTGTAGATTGCTATTCATCAAAGAGGCAATGGTAGAACCTTATGCTTTAGCCTGACATGGTGTCCTGGAATAAAAGTTTCCTGAACTCTTTTGCAGGGAGGTTAGAGAATATGATTAAGTTGGCCCCAACGATCTGAGAAAACATCTTGTATAGGACATTTAGAACATTTGAATCATTTGCATATGTGGGCTGGCTGCAGAGCAGCCATTGTGCATCATAAAGTGACTGTAGGAATGCAAGTCATCTTTAAAACAAAAAAACCCCAAACAAACAAAAACACAAGCTGTAAAGGACTCAGAGACCAAATCTAATAAAGCTGGCATACAAATTGGAGACTGCTTACTTCCAGATTTTTTTTTTACCTGACAGAAAAACAAAATAAAGTGAAAATTTAGATTTGTTTAAACCACTATTTTTTTTTTCCTGTAAGAAATGACACTAGCCCTTGTAGGAATGTGTATGAATTGCCTAAATGTTACCTCTTATTCTTCCTATTTTCAAGCACTTGTTCAGAGAATTTTAACCTCATCAGCTACCTGACACAAAATGTGAAAAATGTATTGTGTAAAACTCGCTTAAAAAGAGATGTCTAGCCCTAACCAGTTTGGCTCAAGGGAGAGAGCATCAGCCTTCAGAATTCAAGGGTCCCAGGTTCGATTCCGGTCAAGGGCATGTACCTTGGTTGTGGGCACATACCCAGTAGGGAGTGTGCAGGAGGCAGCTGATCGATGTTTCTCTCTCATTGATGTTTCCAACTCTCTATCCCTCTCCCTTCCTCTCTGTAAAAAAATCAAGAAAATATATTTAAAAAAAGAGATGTCTAACCCAATACTATCATATCTAGCTATGTCTAGAAATATTTTTAATGACAGTTGAGCACTTTTATTTCCCCAATTTTTGTCTCCAGATTGCTTTTCTCAATGCCTCTTTCACATCCTTGTTCCTGAGGCCATAGATCATGGGGTTCAGCATGGGGATCACTGTGGTGTAAAACACAGCTACCATTTTGCCCTGTTCCACCGACTCCTCTGTGGGACGTCTCAAATGCATGCAGAAGAGGGTTCCATAGAAGATTGTGACCACTGTCAGGTGGGAGCCACATGTGGAGAAAG